CTGCGGCACAGCGAGCAGCTCGAGATCAGCACCTGCACACACACGCAGACAGATAAACACACACTCACAGATACACACACTGAGACCGATTCTGCTCTCATTCAGCATGAAAACAGCCAGTATCACCATTACTGTAGTGCATAAAGAGTCACAAACCTCAATGCCCACCCCTTCCTGTGCAGAATCCCACGACTTCCTGAGAGGAACTGCTAGCGTCTGGATGTCCGTCATGTCAATGTCACTCCCTACAGACAGAGAGCTCTGCACACACACACACACACACACACGCACATAAACACGCACGCACACACACAAACGCACACACGCGCACACACAAACACACACACACACACGCACACACACACACACACGCACACACACGCACAAACACGCACGCGCACAAACACGCGCACACACACACACGCACACACACGCGTACACACACGCGTACACGCACGCACACACACACACAAACACGCACACACACACACACAGTGTTACGCACTATTATTATCAGGGCTGTCAAATGATTAAAATGTAATGTAATTAATTACATGATGTGCCAAGTAATTAATCTAATTAATCACATATCAATTTGGGCTGATAAATACCCCCCAAAAGATCATTTAAAGTCATTATTGTGATGAGAAATGCATTGAATAGACATTACAAAAAATTGATTTAGAAAGATATATTTGATTCAGCATTGCACAAATAAATGATGATGAATGTGTATTAATGTTTTTTTTTTACTGAATACTGAAATATAAAATTATTCTTAAAAACTGATCAGTAGTCTTAATGAGTGAGTCATTGAATCACTTATTCAACCGATTCGTTCAAATGGCTGATTCATTCCGAATCAAAGCAAGGGACATAGCAAGTGTCTTTATGAACGAGTCACTGAATCATTGATTCAACCCATTCCTTCAAAACCATGAAATCATTCAGTAATGAATCATGGCTTTGATTTAACTAATTTTATTTGTGAAAATGAGCAAAAACAGACAATATTGACAATATTGTGTCTAAAATCTACACTTGACCCTCTGACACTAGCGTTCTATTCTATTTCTATTCTTTCGACTTCTTTTTATAAAAAAAATTGACCCTCTAACACTTTCGTTCTCTATTCTTTCGACTTCTTTTTATAAAAAAATTGACCCTCTGACACTAGCATTCTATTCTATTTCTATTATTTCGACTTGTTTTCTTTTCATAAAAAAATTGACCCTCTAACACTTTCGCTCTCTATTCTATTTCTATTCTTTTGATTGCTTTCTTTTTATTTATTAAAAAATGTACCCTCTAACACTTTCGCTCTTTATTCTATTTCTATTCTTTCGGCTTGTTTTCTTTTTATAAAAAAATTGACCCTCTGGCACTAGCGTTCTATTCTAGTTCTATTCTTTCGACTTGTTTTCTTTTTGTTTATTTAAAAAAAATTACCCTCTAATACTAGTGTTCTCTATTCTATTTCTATTCTAACTACTTTTCTTTATATAAAATAATTGACCTCTGACACTAGCATTCTATTCTTTCAACTTGTTAATAAAAAAATTGACCCTCTAACACTAGCGTTCTCTATTCTATTTCTATCGTGTTTTCTTTTTATTTATTATTATTAAAAAACAACAAACAAACCCTTGCTACGTGTACAGTGTTAGACTAAGCGAGACGTCACAGCACTACATATCATTGCTCTATTGTTGGTTTCGTTTGCTTCACATATACGCTTTGGATAAAAGCGTCTGCTAAATGACTAACTGTAAATGTAAAATATAAAACAATATTAACTTGTTTATTGAACTGTTGAATAAAATCAGTGGAGCAGATAATGAGGAGAAACAGCACTCTTGCTGGTGTGATATTGCTAAACTATATCATGATATAAATATTATTCACTGCATGTGCTCATATCTTGAATGTAGGCTCATTTAACTGCATCTCGCAGTCAGTCGCCCTGCATCATGTTCATCAGCAATCGTTTTTAATCATTCTCATGTCACTGTCACCTCAGACGTGGCGTTGTACAGCCGCTCCTTGGCCTTCAGCAGACTCTCGGTCATCTGGCTCTTGCGCGAGGGTTTCTGGCGCGAGTGTCCGTTCGCTCCCGGCCGCCGGTCGTCTACGCTAGCGGCTCGTCGCACCGATGCACGGTTCCTCGTGGGCGTCAGCAGCTGCTGCAGTTTCCCGGCCAGACCGCGGCTCGGAGACGACACGTTGTTGTAGTTTTCATCCACCGACTTCCTGTTCAGAGTCTCCCTCACTTCCACCGACCTGCAGAACAGGAGAAAACCCTCCAGCCATCAGTGTTAACCTGTCAGCGGCTTATGAATTCGCACAATAATAGCAGCCTATGTTTCAAATAAGCAATATAATAGAAGTAATATATTTGTCAGAATGAGTAAAAACAGATCAACGTTCCTTCTCCATCCAGCTATCTGTGAACTCGTAACACACCTAATCAACACTAATCCAGCGCTTCTCAAGCGTTCTGACTCGCCTCATGATCCATAACAATATTCCTCTGATTCACCAGCTGCTGAAATTCATTTGCAAATAATGCAATTGCAGTTAATTTTTGCTTCTTCACATTTTTCATCTGCAGGCACTCCTAGTTTCTGTATATTTAATTTCAGGACTCCAGAGGTTTTAATAGCTTAAACCGATGAATCTGCGTGACTTTTTCCCCAATCGTTCATGATTTACTGGATCAGGATTAAAGGATCAAGAATTACTCATAATTTTGTTTATTTTAAATGATTTATTTATTTTAATTTTACATTTTGGATTTAATTAATTGTACTATTTTTTTTAAACTTATTTATCTTAATTTCACATTTTTGATTTAATTAATTTTACCACATTTCTGTTGTTTTTTTTTAAATTTTATTTTAAGTTATCAGTTTATTTAAATTTGAACATTTAATATTTTAAAAATGTTATGGTTTAATATTTAAAATTAGATTTTTTTATATATATTTTTTAGTTATTTATTTTAATCAGATAGCTGTTGAGGAGGTGAATTAAAATAAGAAATATCTTCTTTTTTTTTTTTTACTTGTTTAAGCATGTTTTATATTATTTGAACTGATTTTAAGTCATCTTGAGGCCCCGGACCCCTGTTTGAGAGCCGCTGGTCTTGAGGACATCACATTATAATGAAGATCCACTAGTTATTCAGGTGCTTTCTGCTTTCCCTGAAGAGTAATGATATGATTAGTTACTGTTTAAGAGGAGTAACACACTAATAAACAAAGGTTTTATCCTGATTGTTTTTATTTTTAAATGATTTTAATTTTACATTTCTCCGATTTAATTAATTTGTTAATAATAATAAAATAAAATATTAATAAAACATTTTATTTCTTTTAATTTTACACTTTTATGATTTAATACAATTTCTAAAAATTAAATAGTGTATAAAATAAAATGTAAAAATGGCGAGTACTTCTGCGCATTCTTCTGCGCCAGCTTTATCTCCTGCACACACACAGCAGGGAGCGTCAGCCGACTGACCTCTGACCCCTGACCCCGTGACCTGACCTTCAGCTGCGGGTCGTACCTGTTTGGAATATTATTACAATTTAAAATAACTTTTCTACTGTAATATGTTTTAAAATGTAATTTGTTTATCTTAATTTGACATATTTTGATTTAATTAATTTGAGCAAATATTTTTTGGTGTTTTGTATTTAATGTTGATTTTATATAATTGTGATTTATTTTTTTGTTTGTTTTTCTTGTTTAATTTATTTATTTATTTTAATTTTACATTTTTATAATTTAATTGATTTTTGATGGGTTTTATTTTAAAATAATTTATATGTATTTTACATATTCATGACTTAATAATTTTTTAATGATTTAGATTTTTTTATTTTAATTTGACATTTTTATGATTTAATTAATTATTTAATTGTTTTTATTTTTAAATTGATTTAATCTTAATAATCCAAAAACCCATGGAAAAATCCTATTGGGTTTTTGTAAAGGGAAATTTTGTCTACATCATCACTGCAGGACTTTAGACAACCTCCAGTAACCTAAAACAATAACTGGTTAATATTACCCAACTAATATTGGTAATACTGGTTAACCAAAAGCCTGCACGGCCTCAGTGATGTCAGCTGAGAAGGGAAGTAATATCAGACGTTTGAGAGCGTTTATAACAGACGATCAAGACTGATGATCACACACCTGTAGTGTGCAGGACACTCGGAGCCGTCGGCTTCCTGCGGTTCCTCCGGAGGCATAATGAACACTGTGTGCTCACCGCTGTGACACTCGTCACGATCGATCAGACGCACATCCTCCGGCTTTTCCACGTCCACCTACACACAGACACACACAGACACAGACACGGACACACAGAGACACAGCCACACACAGACACAGCCACACACAGACACAGACACACACAGACACAGACACGGACACACAGAGACACAGCCACACACAGACACAGCCACACACAGACACAGACACACACAGACACAGACACGGACACACAGAGACACAGCCACACACAGACACAGCCACACACAGACACAGACACACACAGACACAGACACAGACACACACAGACACAGACAGCTGCGTGTAAAACTTCTGCTGCGCTCGATCGCGAGACTTCAGGAACCCTGAGAAACACCCGGAGAAAACCATCAACCGTCACATCTGCTGAATGAAACTGCTGAGCTGCTGATGACAGAAACCGTGTCTGTGTCACACTTTCTCACTAAATATGATGCATTCAGTAAAATTATTGCTTTTGAGAATCATTTGTGTGGTGAATTAGTCTTGCATTCTCCCTTAAACAGCAGAAAAACACCAGAAACACACGACTCCTGTCTGAATCCGAGCCAGATTACAATCATCTGATCAATACTCAGCACATTTTCACATGCTTGACATTATTTTATTTCTAATCCTGATTTCAAGGTCAGAATTATGATCCAGAGACAGAAGAAAATGCAAACATGAGCATGTTTTCTGATTTTACTGCATCCACACAGACACAGAAAACCTCTGATTTTGTGTTCATGTATTAAATTACGTTTTTGAATATATTTTTTATTGTAAGTTAAATGATTCATTTTGAAAACTTTTTGCCATTAAAACCAAAACTTTTGTTATCTTGATAAGTGCATTAAAGCTGATCCAATTTGAATCATTTAATTAAATAATGTATCATTTGAAAAATCTTAATTCAGAAAAAACTACACGATTGAAAGTTTTTATTGATATTTCTGAATATTGGAAGTTTCTGATTAATAAAATCCTTATCGAGTAATCACGATCAACTGGATGAAGAACATTCAGTTCCTCAAACTTCTAGAATCACAAATGAATTGCATTTAATTACTTTCACCTGCTGACCGGAGTTATTGTAGTACCACTGAGATACTATTATTTTGAATTAGTTATTTTATATTTATTTTTGTAATTTCATTTCATTTTAATTTTAACGTTTTAGTAGTTTTGTCACTTTTATTAGTTCCTTTTATTAATATGTCTATATAATTTGTATTCATTTTTTATTTTAGTCTTAGCTATTTAGTTTTTATGGATGCTTGGTAACTGCGACTTTTTATCTCACAATTCTGACGTTTTTTCTCAGAATTATTTCTCAGAGAATTATAAATTGCAATTCTGAGAAATAAAGTCACTTTATAACACGCAACTGCAAGTTTAGATCTCGCAACTCGCGACTTTATAACTCGGAATTACGCACAAAAAAAAGTCGCAATTAAGTTTTTGTTTATTCAGTGGTGGAAATGGACTTCCGTAGGTTTTGGTTGGTTCGTTAAGTTAAACCAAACAAAACTGTTGTCTTGGCAACTAGCTGAAGTACTGATATTTATGGAAGCCCGTTTTCGCCACTGAATAAAAAATAAAAAATGTAATTGCGACTTTTTATCTCATAATTCTGACTTTTTTTCTCAGAATTGCGTGATATAAACTTGCAATTGCGTGATAAAAAAAAGTCCGAATTGTGAGTTTATATCACGCAATTCTGAGAAAAAAAGTCCGAATTGTGAGATACAAAGTCGCAATAACCTTTTTTTATTCAGTGGCGGAAACGGCCTTCCATAGATATTTCTGAGCTCAGCATCATCCGATGTTTTCGGTGTCAGTCAGCAGTGAGGTTGCTGTTAGCGCACCCTGCAGGTGGAAGAGCGAGCTGCAGTCCGTGGTTCGGTCGGAGGGCGCTTGTGTGATGGGCAGCAGGAAGGATCGGTATCCTCTCAGCAAACAGCTCATGAAGCGCAGGAACGCCTCCTGGATCTCCAGCTCCAGCTGCTTCTGACGGCCGTAGATCAGATCGTAGTCCGTCAGCAGGAACTCCAGCGTGGCCTCCTCCTGACCCGGAGTATAGACTGATGGACCGAGAGAGAGCGTGAGGACAGGAAGTGACATCATCAGTCAGTCAGTGTGTGTGTGTGTGTGTGTGTGAGACGCTCACTCACTCTTCTCCAGAGTTTTGTGCAGGTTGGACAGAGAGTTCAGCAGGATCTTCCCATGTTTCCTCGGCAAAGACCTCCAGGACAGGGGCTTCTTATCTTCAGACCTGGAGACACAAAAAAAGATGTCTCTTCTGCTTTATTTGTTCAAAAATACAGTAAAACTGTAAAATATTATTAGGTTGGCTTGAAAAATGTTGGCTCTTCAGACTGATCTGACTTAGTGTGCTTTATCTTTTCAGACTGATCCGACTTATAGTTTTCATAAAAATGAAGATTAAAAATCATAAAAATCCCATAGACTTACACTGACGGAATGTTCAGATGAGCCAAGACTATTCAAACTCCAGCTGTCAAAACTCAAATGTAAACCCACTGAAGCCCATTAGACTCAATCAGACTTCCCTTCTATGTACTATTTCTAACCCATTCAAACTCATCTAATATTTCTAATCTATCTATTTATCTATCTATCCTAGGAACATGCTAATCATGCTAGAAACATACTAACAACATACTAGTAGCATGGTAATCATGCTAGTAACATGCTAATCATGCTAGCAACATGCTAATAATGCTAACAACATGCTAATAACATGGTAATCATGCAAGAAACATGCTAGTCACTTGCTAATCATGCTAGCGACATGTTAGTCATTTGCTAATCATGCTAACGACATGTTAGTCATTTGCTAATCATGCTAGTGACATGCTAGTCACTTACTAGTCATGCTAGTGACATGATAGTCACTTGCTAATCATGCTAGCAACATATTAGTCACTTGCTTATCATGCTAGCGACATGCTAGTCACTTGCTAATCATGCTAGCAACATGCTAGTCACTTGCTAGTCATGCTAGCAACATGCTAGTAACATGCTAGAAACATGCTAGTGACATGCTAGTCATCCTAGAAACAGGCTAGTCACTTGCTAATAATGCTAACAACATGCTAGTCACTTGCTAGTCATGCTAGCAACATGCTAGTAACTTGTTAGAAACATGCTAGTAACTTGCTAATCATGCTAGCA